GGGGTACAGGAAGATCAACAGCTGTGGCTATAAATTTGGATATCCTAGTCCTTGGGTAGGGTTAGGGGAACAGGGCTGTATAGGGTCTCTTATTCCCTGAGAGTTCCTGCCTAGTCCCTGTCCAGGCAAGAATCCCTGTTTTAGCATTTGACGAGTGCGAGTGATTATCTCATTGGGGCTGCACATCAGAAGTTTTATCTGAGACAGAATATCACAACCCCACAGGTTAAGGGGCAGCCCTGGTATGATGTAAGGCTTAACTTGGCCTGTATTTCCTTCCTCATCCTTCCAAGTAAGGATCTTAGAACTCTGCTTAGGGTGGGAGGTCTGGCCTATTCCTTTTAGATGAGTCATGGAAACCATGCATGGCCACTCCTTAGGCCAGTGTCACTCAGAGATAATTGTAGCATCAGCCCCAGTATCAATGAGTCCCCTAAAGGGCTTATCATCTAGCCACAGGGTGAGCATAGGCCTATCTTCAGTAACTTGTTGTGCCCAATATATCTCTGAAGGCCTGGGAGTCCTGGGGGGGGATACTAGAATGGGCATCTGTATTGGCAGGGAGTAGTAGGAGGTATGCAATCCAGTCCCCCTGATTAATTTTTATGGGCCCAAGAGTGGAGAGGGCTAAAAGTGCAAGTTGTCCAGTGAAGCTATTATCTATTATTCCCAGGGCTATTTGTAGACCTTCCAAGAGCATGCCTCCTCTGCCTATTACATATCCTGTCAATTCAGGTGGAAATGGCCCAAAAATATCTGTGGATATGAGTTGAAACCCTAGTTCTGGAATTAATATTGTAGGGGTGGAGGCACAGAGGTCCAATCCGGTATTCCCGGGGATAGCTCTGAGGAGGGAGCTAAATTCCTGATCTGTGCTAGTGGGGTGAACCTGATAGCCCCAGGGTTCAATCCCTTTGATGGGGCCAGGGGCTGGCCCCGTGAGAAGTTTCCCTGCCTAGGGGCTAGGGTTTTTCCTTCATTATCAGTTTTAGAGCGGCATTCATTGGCCCAATGGCACCCCTTTTTGCACCTAGGGCAAATGGTCTTGGGCAAGCCGCGTGGGGCTCTGGACCCAGCAGGGCATTCTTTAGAAAAGTGACCAGGTTGTTTGCAATTGAAGCAAGTTTTATCCCTAGTAAAATTTTGAAAGGCAGCTCCTATCGCGAGGCCCATTGCATGGGCTGTCCCAATTCCTGAACATAGTTTAATGTAGTCAGAAAGAGGGCCCTGCCTGTGGGGCCTGATGGCTTCTTGGCATGCTGAATTAGCATTTTCATAGGCCAAGTGTTTAACAAAGGCACTATCTTCAGATTCCCCGACTAATCTTT